TTATTCTGTCTTCCAAACATTTTACTCTCTTGGTTATTCTCTGCATGCATTCTAGACCTGCATGAATTTTACACCTGCATGTATTCTAGACCTTGCCTCTTAAAATGTGGAATTCAGAGATGAATATAATATGCTAGACCTGGTATAAGACCAAAGTGGCATATAGTGAGATTGAACCTTCCTTGTCCTGGACAATACACATCTATGAACACAGGATAGGTCTGCATTAGCATGATTGCAACCACATACATTGTTGGCTCAGTGATTAATATCTATAGGTCTTTTTCTCAAAAACCGCAGTTAATTCAGAATTGCTTTAATATATATTTCAGAGAGGAAGGAAAAGAGAAAGGGAGATAGAAACATCAATGATGAGACAGAATCATTTACTGGCTGCCTCCTGCAGGCCCCTACTGGAGATGGAGCCCACAACCTGGGCATGTGCCCTGACTAGGAATCAAACCCGGGACTCTTCAGTCTGCAGGCAAATGTCTGTCCACTGAGCCAAACCAGCTAGGGCAAAAATTCCACATCCCTAACCCTAACTCCTGTCCATCACATGCAATTCAATTAACAAAAGAAACAAACAACCAAACCAATAACAACCCACAGGAGCTTGCGTTTATCTCAGTTAAATTCCATCGCATTTGAAAAATGAGGGAGCTGTTTCTCACCCATCACCCAGCCGCGCTGTACCAGTTGTCTGTGGTTTGCATAGTAGAAAGAAAAAAAAAAAGGTGGCAGCTTCAGGTAGACAATGATAGGAGAATGGAAAGTGTGCCAGCAAGACCCAGTGACTAGTGGCATTTCAGGACTTAAGAAATATAAAAACAACTGTTGGCTAGCAAAAATTATCTTGTTAGAATCTCTCAGTAGTTCTATTTTTTCACCTCCAGATAACACTCCTCTCTCTTCTACTTTTCATGGGACACTGAGAGTTCTAAGAACAAAATCTCTGATTAAGTAGATTTGGGTGAGAATCATGCTTTTTAAAATATATTTTATTGATTTTTTTTTTTTTTTTTTTTTTTTTTTTACAGAGAGGAAGGGAGAGGGAGAGAGAGTTAGAAACATCAATGAGAGAGAAACACCGATCAGCTGCCTCCTGCACACTCCCTTCTGGGTATGTGCCCGCAACCAAGGTACATGCCCTTGACCGGAATTGAACCTGGGACCTTTTAGTCCGCAGACCGACGCTCTATCCACTGAGCCAAATCAGTCAGGGAGAGAATCATGCTTTTGTCATACATCTGCTGTGTGAACCAGACAAAGCTCCTTAGCCTCTCTGAGCCTCAACCTCCCCTGTAAAACAAGGATAGCAATACCTAACTTATCTAGTTGTGAGAACGGAATGAGTTTAAAATGCTGACTAATTTCAGGGGGAAGGCAGGAGTGGGGGATTAAGCGGGGGGGGGGGGGGGGGGGGGAATGATTAACTGGGAACTTATAGTCATATATGCATAGCCCATGGGCACAGACAATAGAGTGGTGAAGGCCTGGGAGGGGCAGGTGCGGGATGGAGGGGGTCAAGGCTAAAAACCAAACAAACAAATGGGACATCTGTAATACTTTCAGCAAACATCTCCCTTTTCCTGCCCTAACTTAAAAAATAATAAATTGCTAAAATATCTGGCATAGGGCTCATAGCCAAGAGTGTGCCACATGCAACCCATCTAAAGGGCAGCCTTTGGGAAATCATTCTCCCCCTCCCCCAGGAAAAGTTCAAGCTCCTAGGCATGGCTCACGGCCTCTTTTGACATGGCTTTGTCCCTCTTTTCCCTCCCCTCTTCAATGTAGCCTGTACTGTAGCTATATTGACCCACCTGTAGTTTTCTGAGTATATCCATAGTCATACCATTCTCTCCGGAAAGCTAACCCAAATCCAGTCCAACTAGGCAGCTTCCACTCACCCACAAGTTCACCACAGATAACAGCTCCGCTGTGAAGCACGTGTTGGGAGACAGTTCTTTATGGTTCTCTCGCATTTCTGGACACCTTGCAAGAGAGGAACCAGCTGCACTTTGCCCTGGACTATCTCTGCAAGGATGTTTGTACAGTGAATAGCCACGGAATACAGAGATAGTGTTTCCCTCTGGAGCAGAAGTCACACATACTTGCTACCCATTATAAAAGATTTAGGTTCCTTAAGCCTTGGGTTCCTTTCCCTTAACCCACAGTATGTGCAGTTGACATTTGGCCCTCATGGTATTGCCCTGTAGGATTTGAGACATAGGAAACTGATGAAAAACTGCTGGTACTCTGCTTATTGCATTGCCACGAGTAATAAACTGCCCTTCATCGCTGGCACAGGAGTTTTGTGTTGTCACCTAGTAACTTGTTAGTTTGCAAGCAGGAGCATAATCCCTTCCTTTCCATTTCATCCCACTGTAGGAGTGTAAATTGCTCCTGAAACTTGGTTCTCAAATTATATTACCACAATGTTTAGTGATTGCCTTATTTTCTTATAACTGTATCTGCAGTAGTGCCTGGGACACACTGAATGCTCAGTACTTTGTTGAATGAGTGAACATGTCATTCCTCAGCAGTTCCTCTAAGACTCTTCCCATTGCTGGCATATAGCCAAATGGATGCTCAGTGCTCTTGGCCTCTGTTCTAAATGTCCTATCCTCACTTCTCCTACACATCCTTGATCATCTCCCCTTTCCTGCTCCAGAATGACCCCTTCAGTTCTGGTACTGGATAAGTTACTTCTGGCTCCGGTTTCTTTTTCTTTCTTTCTTTCTTTCTTTCTTTCTATTTCTCTTTTCTCTTTCTCTTATTTCTATCTTCTCTCTCTCTCTCTCTCTCTCTCTCCTCTCCTTCTTCTTCCTTCCTTCCTTCCTTCCTTCCTTTCTTTCTTTCTAAATATATTTTATTGATTTTTTACAGAGAAAAAGAGAGAGGGATAGAGAGTTAGAATCATCGATGAGAGAGAATCATTGATTAGCTGCCTCTTGCACACCCCCTACTGGGGATGTGCCCGCAACCAAGGTACATGCCCTTGACCGGAATCGAACCTGGGACCTTTCAGTCCGCAGGCCGACACTCTATCCACTGAGCCAAACCGGTTTCAGCATGGCTCATGTTTCTTGATGCTCTTATTTTCTCTTGGAAATTGTGTACTAGTAACAATCTTCACTTGAAGAGTCGCCAGGACCTCTCTTCTTAGTACACATCTTCATAAACAACTACTCAGAGTGGAAAAAATTCACATTCTATCATACAACATATTAGTTACACACTGTGTTACATGAAAATCCAGATAAATGTCTTCTGTAATTTTAACTTAAGCTAGTGATAATAAATGTGGAATAGACAAGATTAACTCCAAGTATAGGATTTTGCACTATTTTACCAGAGTACTTGCTCTCAGTTGCTTTCCATCTATCTAATCAGTATTTCAGTATAGTACTTCATTATTTCTTCAGCCAACAAATATCTATTCAGTTCCTCTTCATTGCAAGGCAATGTCTTTACTGTGAGGCACACAAAGATGAATCAGATGTGATTCATGTCCTCAAAATGCTCGTGATAAAATATGCATAAGTTGCCCTAGCTGGTTTGGCTCAGTAGATAGTGTTGACCTGTGAACTGAAGAGTCCCAAGTTCTATTCCGATCAAAGGCACATGCCTGGGTTGCAGGCCAGATCCCCAGTGGGGGTGTGCAGGAGGCAGCCAATCAATGATCTCTCTCATCATTGATGTTTCTATTTCTCCCTCTCCCTTCCTCTCTGAAATCAATAAAGATATATTTTTAAAATATGCATAAGTTATGTACCACAAAAATATTGTAAGGTTTCACCAAAGGACTTGTATGCATGCATATAAGCCTAACCAATGATCACAGACAACAGGGGTGGGGGCATGAGTTGGAGAGATGGGGGTGAAGGGGTAACAGGGTGATACGGACACATATGTAACACCTTAATCAATAAAAAAATAAAATAAAATAACTAATATTTATTGAAAAATATTCTAAGGATTCAGACAAAATAACATCTCTATTGCCCCTGAAAATATAGATATTAGGAAGGCTCTCAATTACAGTGTGAGGGTGAAGGGCAAGGAATGTAGTCTAGGATTAGAGAAAATCTGCAAAAGGCTCAGAGTTACAGCAAATCAAGTGCTGCTCAGCTATCACTATGGATGGTTTACTTTGGGCTGAGTGTTGAATATATATAGAAAAAGATTGACTATACATCTGTAATTGTAGAGTGGGGTCAGATTAGGGAGCCATTAGAATTATGGAGTGTAGTTGTTTAATTAATACTCTGGCATTTTACAGGTAAATGAAGGGGCAGAGAAAGTTTTTGATCAAAAGAAAAACTTAATCACAGACAAATTAACCTTGTAGTAACAATAAAAATGAATCCGAGATGGAGATAGAAAGATTGCAAGATTTGGGGGAAGTGTGTTGAGAGCCTATTCTAATGCAATGGCTCAGGTGAGAGGTACTGAGAAAAGGAACATGGGCAGTAGTAACAGGAGAAATTTACTGGAGAACAGATTTCAAAAGATTTCAGAGAGAAACATGACAGCATAGGAGTAAGGGTGAGAAGATGCTTTAATCAAATGTTATCTTGCATAATCCCTTTAACATCCAATCAATATTTCTTCATAGGAATATCATGCGATGTGAGTGGTAAATTGTTGTTGTTAATCCTCACTGGAGGATATTTCTCCCCAGTGATGTTAGAGAGAGTGTAAGGGAAGGGGGAAGAGGAGAGAGAACAGAGAGAGAAACATTGAGATGAGAGAGCTACATCAATTGGTTGCCTCTCACACATGCCCCACCCAGGGCATGGAACCTGCAACCCAGGTACGTGTCCTTGACTAGAATTGAACTCGAAATGCTTCAGTTCTTTTTGTAAAATAAAATAAAATAAAAATAAAAATAAAAAAATATTGATTTCAGAGAGAAAGGGAGAGAGATGAGAGAGAATCATTGATCGGCTGCCTCCTGCACACCCCACACCAGGGGTTAAGCCTGCAACCCAGGCAAAAATATGAAGCACTTCACAAACATGCGTGTCATCCTTCAGCAAGGGCCATGCTAATCTCTGTATCATTCCAATTTCAGTATATGTGCTACCAAAGCAAGCACTGACCTATGTATTCTTAGCAAACATGGGTTTCTGCCTTGTTATTGCCATTACTGCTTTTTCTATAGATTTACAATCCACTTTTTAAAAACTGTGGTAAAACAACACATAAGTTTATTCGTAACAGTCTTAAGTATATATTAATATTACAGTATTGTTAACCATATCCATATTATTGCACAACGTATCTGTAAAACTTATTTCTTTTTAAAAACATTGTTGACAGTATTACAGATGTCTCTCAATTTCCTCCCCTCCCTTTGCCCCCTTCCTCCCAGCTCCTGCCTTCACCACTCTGTTGTCTGTGTCCATTGGCTATGCATATCTATACATGCCTATACATATAAAAGCATAAGCCACCGTCACAACCAAAACAACCAAATGGTTGCCCAAACAGGCTGTATGGGGCAACCAGGTTGGCAGGGGGTTAATGAGGGACAACCAAACAACTGAACAGAGGGCTGTGTGGGGTGACCAGGTCGGCAAGGGGGGCAGTGAGGGGTGTTTAAAAGACCAAATAGCAGGCTGTGTGGGGTGACCAGGCTGGTGGCGGTGGGGGTGACAGTTGGGGGTGACCAGGCCAGCAGGGGGGCAGTTAAGGGCAATCAGGCAGTCAGGCAGGTGAACAGTTAGTAGCCAGTGGTCCTAAATTGTGAGAGGGATGTCTGACTGCCGGTTTAGCCCCAGGATCGGGCCTAAACTGGCAGTTGGACATTCCCGAATAGGTCCCCGATTGAAGAGGGTGCAGTCTGGGCTGAGGGGACCACCCACGCTCCACCCCCCGTGCATGAATTTCATGCACCAGGCCTCTAGTCTATAATAATAAAAGCATAATATGCTAATTAGACCAGATGTCCTTCCAGACGTCCTTTCTTCTGGACAAAGCTGCAGTGGACAGGGGCCACAGCAGAGGCAACAGAGGCCCCTGGCTGTGGCCGGCAGAGGCTGGGGCCAAGGCCCTTGCACAAATTTCATGCATTGGGCCTCTAGTATGTATACAAGTCCTTTTGGTTACTCTCTTCCCATCTCTACCTCCGTTCTGAGATACGTCAGTCTGTTCCATGTGGAACTCTTTCCATCTTGCATAACTGAGATGCCATACCCTTGAACCGACTTCTTTCACAACATAAAGTCCTCAAGTATCATTTGTGTTGTAGCTAGGATACAACAGGACTTCATTATCTTTTAGGGCTAAATAATATTTCATTTTCTTACCCATTCACCTATTGATGAACATTTTTTAATAGGTTGTTCCCACTATTTGGAATAAGGTTACAATCAACACAGATGTGCAAGTACCTCTTCAAGAGACTACTTTTAAATTATTTTTAATATTTTCCCAGAAGTGAGATGTAGTTCCATTTTTAATTCTTTGAGGAATCTCCATACTGTTTTCCATAGCAGCTGCATCCTTTTACAACCCATGAAGAATCACCACCCCTCTTTAAATGAAACCTTTTCAGAATGTTTCTGGTGGAAACATTTTGAGAGCTCATCAATGAGTGCTTTCTGGAATTACGTGACGATCATACATGTGATCCTTATCCAGGGCCTGGCCTTCTAAGCCAGGACCTCAATGAATATTTGTTAAATGAAAAGTTAAAGGATTCCAGACTTAGGTTGCGTTTTTTCAAGCCATGGAACCAGATAATGTTCAGAGGTCATAAAGCTTCATAATTTGATGGGTAAAATTATGTGTCTTTCCCCCCCGCAAAGTTGTGCCAAGGAGATGTGAACTTATTTAACAGAACCCAATTCCTTCCCTCCCCCCCCCCCAACCTTCCCTCAGATTTCAGTTCTTTTTAAAAGCTATATAGGGCCGAAACCAGTTTGGCTCAGTGGATAGAACATCGGTCTGAGGACTGAAAGGTCCTGGGTTTGATTCCGGTCAAGGGCATGTACAATACCTTGGTTGCAGGCACATCCCCAGTAGGGGGTGTGAAAAAGGCAGCTGATCAATATCTCTCTCTCATCAATGATTCTATCTCTCAATCCCTTTCTCTTCTGTAGAAAAATCAATAAAAATGTAATTTATAATAAATAAGTAAAAAGCTACATAGGTTCTCCTCTTTTCAGCCTGAAAATAATTGTCCTTATCTAAAATATAAAAGCAAAGTTGAGCTTATGTAGTTATTTATCTCAATGAGATTTATCCTTGAGGGGGCAAGTGTGGGAGTTTAAACACCTAGGCCTTCTACCCCTGTCAGGACTAGTTTAGGGACGATTCAAAGAAGCCATCAGCGTAGTCACCAATCAGAACTGACTTAAAAACTTGAATATTTAAAAATTAAGCCAACTCTGAAAGGATAAAGACTTGTCACAATTTACTTACTAAGTAATGATGGCAACTACAGAGCTTGCACCAGATACTTTCCAAGTATTATATCACAGCAGCTATTGGCATTATACTTATCCCCACTAACTAGATAATAGATAACTTTTGAGAACATAATAACTTGTCTGACAGTGTGGTTACTGCAGTGTGGTTACCTCACTATACGCGGGAACAGTGCTGGAATCTGTGGGGCCTTGGAGAACTGGGAAACAAGCCCCGAAGTGGCATATGCAGCTCGTACATCAGATAAGACAAGTATTGTACATGAAAGAAAATGTAATTGTCTGAGAAGACACCTACTGTGTTATTTAAAGAAGTATGCCATAAATTCTGAAGCCAACAGGAATAGGCATTTAGAAAAAAAGGAAAGAAGGAAAGAAAAAAAAGAGAAGTTTACATGAAATTATTTAAATTTAAAGAACAGAAAGATCACAGTAAAAAAAAAAAAAAAAAAGCAAAAAACAAATCAGAAGATGTGAGATTCTATTTCCCTGTTACCATTTACTAAAGAGTGATCTTGGGTATACTACAAATTGTATAATTACATCATCAGAGTAAGGTTCTTGCTGCCCAACATGGGACAGTAAATATATCAGAAAAGTTCGTTAAATCACATTACATGTTATCTATGTTACATATATTATTTTATTTCGTGTTAGATGCAATGCTATATTCTTCCCCAGTGCAACTCAAGGTCCAAAGCCATTGCATTAGAACCAAAGTCTCCTATGACTAATTGAAATGTTAAAGAAAAGACAAAGTGGCAGGTTAAAAAAAAGTTCTTCCCTTGCATCTAGCTTATCCCTCCCCTCCTCCAGCCTTTGTTGTTCTTATTTATTCAAGAAAGAGAGCATAAGAGCATCTTACTAGCAATGCAGAAAATATGAGCATTTGGGCCGACTGAAAGGGAACAGGGAGAAGGGGGAATCAAGAGGGCGAAGCACGTCATACAATTTTAAAAAATCTAGCTTAGCGTCACCCATGAATATAATTTTGTGTAAATGTGATTTATCAGATATTTAAAACATCCTTGTAAATGTTTCATTTTATTACTTCTAAAGAACCTTTATTCTGATGCTTAAAAATAGTTCAAATTCATGTCAATTTTAAGTTAAGATTTTGGAGGCAATAGAGCGAACACTTTACTGTCTTCCCTGCAGTCAAGTAGAAATCGTTTAGCAGACTGACCCTTTTTAGAGTAAGCTTCCAGCGAGGGTAGTGCTGCCCTCCCAGCAGATGTTCTAACACTGTTGACCTCCCCCGCCCAACACACACACACACACATTTTGTTTCTCATAAGGAGGATTTTGTCTTAGTGACAACAGCTAGCTTCCTGCCAGCACTTTTCATTAAGGTGAGCTTTTCGCCTGCACCCTCATCATCATGTGCCACCGATTTACTGGTAGATTCATGGGCCATTTGCTAACCCACTTGCAAGGCTAGGATGGATCCACCTCGAGCCATTTGATTGCATTTGTAAAATGTACCTTTTCGGCAAGCACTCTTGTTATACCTAAACTTTAAGAGATGTGAGCAAATTTCACAACACTTAGGTCTTTCCTAGTCCGTTTTAACTTCTAACCAGGTCGTCAGTCTAACAAAGCCTAGTTAGTTGGCCAGACCTAGCAGCGCAGAGAGTCTAAGCATCTTCCATTCTTACTTAGGACAGGGCCTTTTGTGTGCACAAGTTCTCACGACTCCCACAACTAGATTAGAAGTTGAGAGAGAATAAAACATCTCCCCAAAAGGTAATCGTAGGAGATGCTTCTAATCAGTGCTGCATCTGATGGGGGCGAGGGGGAGGTAAGAACTGTCCCCAAATGTGGGGCTGGTCACCCTGGGATGCCTGCAGTCCGACGGACAAACCTCTGCCAAGTGGGAAAGAGCCCATTTCCCTCCACCGGGCCCCAGCGTGTGAGAGCAGCAGGGGGATGGGCAGGGGCCATCAGGGGAGAAGTCTCCGGCCTTTCCCCGTCTCTCAACACCATACCTCCCCCACCCCTTCCCCCTTCCCTCCCCCAATCCTAAACAAGCCGGCGGGAGAGGGGCCCCGGGGGCAGGCTGGCCGGAGGCTCGGCCTTTGTGGCTGGCCCTCCCCGGTGGCGGGCGGAGGGGGCGGGGCGCGGCCGGAGACCCTCAGCCGGGGCCTGACCCCCAGGTGCATTGTCCGGCGCGGCCCGCCCTCCCCTCCCCTCCCCTCCCGGGGCCGCGACCCTGTCGCCCGCCCCCTCCCCCAGCGTCTCCCTCCGCGGCCGCGCGGGGCCGGACCAGGGCCAGATGTAGAAAGTAGTCCGCGGCCGGCGGCGGTGCTGTCCACTCCGCGCCCCCCCGCCCCGCCTCACTCCGCCCCCAGCCGGACCCTCCGTCCCCCGCCTCCTGCGAGCGGGGTCCGAGCGCCGGCCGCGCCGCCGCCGCACACCGACACCCGCCGCCCGCGCCGCGCCGGTGCCGAGCGGGAGCCAGGCTGCACGCGGGGAGCTGCGAGGCGGGGCGGGGGCCGGGGCCGGGCGGACAGCGGCTGCGGGGCGGCGGCGGGAGCATGTCCGCGCAGCCCCGCTGAATGGCGCCTTCTTCTCTGCGACCCCGCGCCCGGCCGCGGCCGCCGGGGATGCTGCTGCTCCGCGCGCTGCTGCTGCTGCTGCTGCTCGGCTCGCTCCCAGGTGGGCG